GTGGACGGCTGCCCCCCCGCAGAGGGTGCAGATGGGGGGCGGCGGCCCCGGGCAGCCGGGGCCGCCAGCAGAGCAGAGGACACCCCGCTGGACCTGGTACTGGTACGGGGAGGGCTCTCTAGGTGGCGCCAGCCTGGCTCGGACTGGGACTCTATCCCAGGGCTGCATAAAGGGCACATTGAGTGCCCCACAGCCCCGCAGGCCCCTCCTGTGCCTGGCAGCCCTCCCGCCCCCCTGCACCACTGGGGTGGCTCCAGCCCCACACACACAGCCCCACTGTCACCAGACCCCGGGTCTGTCCCGAGGACCTCTCGCCCAGAGCCTAAACCCACCCCAGCCCCTGAGGCTGCATCTGAACCCACACCTCCTCCCGAGCCACCTCACTGCCCCGGAGTCACACTCACGCTTCTCCAAAGAAGAACTTCTGAGAGCCCAGGCGCTGGGACAGGAGGGTCAGGCACTCCCGGGCCTCTTGGTACAGCTGCAGGGCGGACACAGGTAGGCTTGCGGCTGCGGGCGCCGTGCCACCTCCCCTCCGAGGCATTCCCGCTCCTGGCCATCAGCCTCGGGGCGCCTCTCACACAACAGCCCCCTGTCCCAGAGGTACCTCCTTCTCCAGCTCTTCCTCACTCTCAGGCCTCTGCTCCCCACAGAGCAGCAGCTGCAGCCGCTCCATGTGCTGCCGCTGCATGCGGCCGGGCAGGAAGAAGTTAAGGGGAAAGGGCATAGCCTCCGCGTACCACTTCCGGGTCACTTCCACGTAGTTCTTGGCGTCTACCCAGAAAGTATGTATCTGCATCGGGCAAACACGAAGGCAGAGGCAGGTCTGAGCCAGTGCACCTGCCCGACTCCGGTGGGCTTCTGATCCCCGTGCTGCTCCAAGCCCGGGGGGCTGGGGGCTGTGCCTCACCCCCGTCCCCGCTGGCCATGAACACTGGGAGGTCTGGGCACACTCACCAGCACTGGGAGCAGCTTCTCCTCCAGCAGAGACATGAAGGCCAAGGTGTCTGCCCCTTGCCGGGCAGACAGATCATAATCGGCATTGTACTTCTGTGGAGGAAAGACCCGCCATGACGTGAATGCGGGGGCTCCGGGGCACTTCCCCAGGGGCACCCTGTCTGGTACCTCCTCACTGGCCTCTGAGTGCAGTAGAGGGAGAATAAAGAGCTTTTCCTGCCGAGGCTCCTGGCCTGGGCACAGACAGTAGCCTGTTGCTGTTGGTGCAAAGCCTGGGCCTTGGAGGCTGCCAGCCATCGAGGTCCCACGCCCCTGGGGGAGGAAGGCCCGGCCGCAAACCAGGAGCAGCTCCCAGAGTTTCCACGGAAAGGTGGTGCCGTGCCTGCTGACGGCAGCTTCCTCGCAGTAACTTCCCCAGCCCAGGCGCCTCGAGCTAACAGTGGAGCAGGGCCTCCATCCACGCCTCAGGAGTAGGGGACGCCATCCTTGGCTCCTGGGACCCAGCGAGCCCCTGCCCAGGGCCTCCAGCTTTGTTCTCTTGACACCCAGCTCTTGGCTAGTTCTTCTATTTCATTCCGTGGTCCAGGTGCCACCAGCACACACATGCCACCCGTGTCCCAGGCCTCAGGCTGCCACCCCTTCCTAGGCTCCACCGTCTGGTGCTCAGCACCCCCTCCAGAGCCCCATTGAGCTTCGTCCCCAGATAACCTCTTAACCTCCTGACGTCTCTCTGAGCTTCATTTTCTCCCCTGCGGGCTGGGGGCCCTAATCTCTTTCTCTCGGTGTGGCTGTGTTAGAAGATTCTAGAAACTGGCAAGCGCTGCTCCTACATAAGGAAGCCCGGCAGGAACTTTGGCTTTTTCCTGGCTTCCCTCTCTCCATGCTTCTCAAGCCTCCATTAATTCCCCAGCTCTTTCATTCTGGGGAAAACAGAAGGCAAGAGGAGGATCGCACTTCTGACGGTGTGTTCCCAGCGTGAACCAGGCCATGCGAGCTGGCAGGACCCTCGGAGAGCATCCTGACTAAGCCCCCTAGTTTTACAAATAAGGAGCTTAGGGCTCTGAGACCTCAAGTGACATACCGAAGGTCACACAGACAGGGGAGAGTGACGAGCACAGCCCAGGCCTCCCCCTTCCACTTGTAATGTTCTTTCGACTTCCCCGCCTGGCTCTAAGCCTTGTCCATCCTGATGCCCTTATCCCACCCGACTTGGTCCCTGAAAAAAGGACAATGGCCCTGAGAAGTCCCTCTCTGGTCCCACTTTCAAGGGCCTCATCTGAGCCAACTGCTCTCTTCTGCTCTCCTTCCCCGCTTCCTTGTGACGAGGCTCTGTGCCTCCGGATGCCTCCACAGTGCCCCAGTTTAATCTCTGGCCTACTGTTTACCACGTCACACTGACACTACATGTCTCCCGCGTCACACCACCTGTTCCTTGCAGCTCTGGTCGCCTATCTCTAGCTTGGCATATGCTTGGTACTCAATAAATGTGTTGCGCTGAACTGACTGAACTTTTCCCACTGGCGGTCCCCCTCCCCGAGCCACCTACCTCTTTTCGAAGGTGGGTGATGATCTTGTGTGGCACTGAGATGACCTCTCCATGACTGGTCCGGAGGGCAGGCAGAGCTCCTGACATTGAGAAAGAAGTCTGCACACCGGACCCTTAGCTGCCCACCCCCACGTATTTGCACCGCATCCTTATCCGTCTCCCTGTCTCCTGCCACCCCCACCCCCAACTCCCATGCGCTCCATTCCCCAACCACGCTCAGGGACACTGGGTACCTGAAGGGCTTCGCCAGGGGTTGGTGATCTTGTGCATCTTGAGTGGGGCACCAGTAAACCTGGCATAGGTCTGCAGGGAAGAAGCCGGAGGCAGAGAGGTCAGGGATGTGGCCCCCACAGGGGAAGCAAGAAGAGAAATAACATTTATTGAATACCTTTTGTGCTACGATCTGTGCTTAGCAATTGCCTCATATGCAAAAAGAATCGATTAACACTGTGCCCATTTTACCACGGGCAAACGGGGCTCAGCGGTTACGGACTCTCCACGATTACAAGTCGGCCAGGAAAATTCTTCCCTCTGTCTCCTCCCCTCTCCTCCCACCCGCCTGGAGCACCTACCCCCAGAGGTTTTTCTAACCAGTATATCCCTTTTCTTGGAAGCACTGACCACGCGCCTTTGGCAGTCTCTGAGGCCTGTTCCTGCTTATACCTTAGACCTGTGCATTTTATTACACTTCTTTGTTGACATGTCTGCCTTTCTGCGAACAACTCCAGGGGAGAGACCAAGTCATTTATCTCAGCATGCCAATGACTGGTATTTGGAAGACACCTAACACCTGCTTATTAAATAAAGGAGGGAGTGAATAAGTGAGATAAACTGGACTGACTCCAAAGCTCTTTCTACAGAGCCTGGCTGTGGCCCCTCTGGTTCCATAAACAAGCTCAGTAAATGCTGTCTGGTGAGGAGGAGGAGGAGGAAAGCGGGGCGGAAGAGAGGCTGGCTGCGCAGAGAGAAGGGATCTGCCCAAGGTCACACGGCCAGTCAGTGGATGGGCAAGGACTACAACCCATTTCTTGAGTCCCCGACCAGGCTTCTTTCTATTGCTGCGCAAAACCTGCTCAGCTAAGGCGTAGGGCACCGAGCCCACACCGACACCACGCTCTTTGATTGCCTCAGTTTCCCCCACTGCGCCCGTGCTGAGGCGCCCCGGCAAAATTCGGATGCTCCCTCCCTAGTGCTCGAAGGCGCAGCAGAGGGCGCCGGCGCCCCCCTCACCAGCACCGCCAGGCTGTCCAGGTCCACGGACGGCAGACCCCAGCCCCCAGCCCAGCAGAAGAGCTCCATGGGCGCCGCCATCTTGCCCGCCCTCTGTCCCGGAAGCACCTCCCTCCGCGCTTCGCCGAC